CGCGCGTATAAAGGTCAAACTTAAGGGTTTTCTCGTTTGAATTTGGAAATTCAACTTATTCGATTCTAAAACTCTAAAATATGATAATCCAAATATATATATATATATATATATATATATATAACAATAAAAATCACGATAAGCAATTCATCTTGAATAAATTTGGGCATTAAAATAATATACGCGTAAAGAACCAATCGGTAAAATTTATTTTCGAGAAATTCATGTACTTTAGTATTTTTTTTTGGGTAACTCGAGTACGAAATATTTTTAAAATGACCAATTTAACAATATTTTGAAATAATAAAATTATGGGTCCTCACATCCTCTCCCCCTTAAGAGAATTTCGTCCTCGAAATTCATACCTTAACTCAAAAACTCCAGATGTCACTTTTGCATCCCACTCTTACGAATTGTAAAACTTTTTCCGCATTAAATATCACGTAAGTCTTGTATTCTTAATCTGTTCACGACGAGCGAGATAACAATTCCTTCATGCGGTTCACAGATTCAATTGCCTCAAGAAATTTGTCAATTCAAGAACAAATGATGTAATAACCCTTTAAATTGGTATACGCAATGAACTTTAAATATCTCGCAGATCAAATTCAATAAGATCTTATTAGCACACAAGTTTTGTCCTACTGGACCTTAACCCTAGTAATCTTTCAAAATAGATAGTAAGAGCCCTCAAGAATCAATAACTTCAAAATCATATCTAGTTCCGTATACATGTATGCAAATATTGAAGTACGAATTGAAACCTTACATTCAATAATATCTTATTGTAGTCCCCAAGTCATTTATGAGTATTACTGCCAATTTTTAACTCAAATACGACTTAAAGACCCAAATCCATTAATGCTACTGGTGTATTCATTACTCCCAATGGCATAATTGAATTTCAAAGTGCTTACTTTTCTGATGAACTAGCCTTAATCATATCTTCCTCTAGAATCCTCAATTAGTTGTAGTCCTGTATTAAATCTAACTTGGAAAGTACTACTGTCTCTTGTAGATACCCAAATGATTCATTTATGCAAGGTAAAAGATATTTATTCCTGATACCCACTTGATTCCTGTCTCGATATTATAGACATGGCTTTCTCAAAAGGTTATAAGCATAACAAAATTTAGATATACGAATAAGTCATGAATTTGATTAAATGCAAAGTAAACTTTCATTTGCTATAAAAGACCATAATAGTTTCATAAAGTTAGGATAAGTTTATCAAATCATTTCAAAAGAAAAGGGAATAAACAATATTGTAGCAAAACATGCTAAGTCATCCATGTTCAAATCAACAAAAGATTTCATCCCTTACACAAAAGATTACAACCTTCAAAAGTCTCAGTATAGGCTAGGTTATAATCATAATTCCTGTCCTTAAGCAAAGTCAAATCCATCTTCACTCGTAGAGCTTCTAATACTTTGGTTCTTCTCACAACCATTAGTATTAACCACTCCCTCTAACACTCGACTATTTTGTAGCAGACTTAACGAGCTGCTGAGGAGTTCATCGGGCAACTTAAAACTTAATGCTCAGGACTCCCGCATAGCAAGCATTTCCTTGTTTCCTTCAGCCCATAATCTCAGTGTGATTAAACTTGCCACAGTATCCACAAGTTACTCTACAAGTTACGGCCTGATTAGCTTGAGAATTCTCCTTTTTCTTTTTCTTCTTTTCTCTCTGCTCCACAACAAATTCATGTTCACATCTCTCTTTACGTTTCCCTTTTTTCATTATGGGAGTTTCCTTCACTACCCTTAACTTGGTTACTAGAAATATACTGAGGTGAAACTTGAATAGTGGATCGCATCCCCTCAAGTTTTTTTTTTCTTTCCTGAAGTTCCTCCAATACTCGTTCGTATTTCTTTTTCATTTCCAATTTCTTGTTCCATAATTCCATCTTCTCTACAAACTCTTGTTTGCATCGTTCTTCCCAGAATTCAACCAATTTAGTCTAAAATTCCAACTCCTTGCGAAGAACTTTTATTTCTATACGCATCTCTTCCAAACTTTTCATTTCATCCATTTGCTTAATCCTAACTGTCAGCCTATCAACAACTCAAAGCATCTAAATGAGTACCAAATCAAAATTTAAAACTTAACTATCCACAACCTATAAATTCTCACGCATTTAAGTCATCCAGGTATATTTACTCTTACCTCTCCACGAATTTGATACGTAAGAAAATTCACACCTACAAATAAAGTAATACCCCTTGATATAATGATATGTACTTCCGTTCTAAGGTCTTACTCACGTATGTAGTGAAACCATAAATTACACGCCATAAGAAACAAGTTCCAAACCTTGACTAAAAACTGTTACGCACTAATAAGACCAGAATCCTTTTCCTCAAAAGTTTGTCTAAATCAAATCAATCATGACCTACAAGATAAAGTCGAGACTTTTGATATATTTTGAATGTATCTGTGGCAAAATGCGATTCAAAATTTTCAAAATTATAGTTAAAGATACAAATTTTCTTCATGATCCAAAACTAAATTTTCTTAGTAAGAGATTTCAAATAATGTTTAACCACAATCATCAATACATATTTCAAATCTCTCAAATAGATTTAAGAAGATTAATCATGCAACTTAATGCATGAATTTTAAAACATATATATAATAATCATAACATATACATGGAGGGTGTTCCAACACTTTTCCTCAAAGTTTCGAGTTAAATCTATGTTCGGGTAAAGCGTATATTTTAGAAAATACCTTTAAGAAAGATAAATAGACATGTAGGTTCATATTCGCATAACCTGTGATCCAACACCTTTACCACCCTTTTATATCCAAACCAAGAGCTAACTCTACTAGTACATAAAACCCGATCATTTCTAATCTCTGATTCATAACAAATAGGCATTCATGTTCCTAAGAAAAGATTCGAACTTGAACTCTATCTGATTTCGATTCTCAAACGAGTTCAAAATGTGTATACATATATATATATATATATATATAAATTTTGTGAAAAAGTAAAACAAGTGAATCTGGGTATAGTAATTGTCAAGTAAAATTGAAAGCGCTTTTGTTCAAGTAGAATAAATAGGTAATGAGTTCAAATCATCTCACCAAACCAACGAAATACTTTCGGAGTTCAAACTTCATAAAAGTTGAAAGATGGCCATAGGACCACTCATAATATACGTATAAAGCAACTATTAAAATTTTGCACAAGAAAATCTCATCAAGTTCCCAACTAGGTTAATCCATTATACACTGGTAGATCTAATCTTCTGGTTTATTCTCGATTCATATTCAGTACTAGGGTCTCATTAAATTATATAAGACTATCCATCAATTTTGTCATGAGTACAGGGTTGTCTAAACCCTGGGCCACGACCCCTTTTTCCCATTCCTGCTGCTATACTTAATAGAAGTCTATAAGCACAAGAAAAGGAATAATTAAGCATAAAAGAACTTAATGCATATACAAGTTGCAAAAATATTTAGAATCAAAACATGCTTCTTTACATGTATCAAAAGTTATAGCATGAGTTAGAAGTCACAAAACAAGCCCAATATGTCAAATACTGCATATAGGCAATTAAGTGCCACAAAATATAGAAGTATATGCAAGCAGGATACAAAAGGCCTCACGGCGTGCACCACCCTTCCTAAGTCCTTAGTTAAACCAAAGGATCCAAATATCACTAATTTCAATTAGATCACATGCCTTTCCGAAATTAGATCCAATCAAACCATAACACAAGCTGAAACCAAAGGTTATCCATTCGAAATTCAAAATCTTTAATAAGCAAGCCACCAGCCAGAGTACCATCATCTCCAAGAATAACCAGTCTTAGGGTTTTATAGTTAAAGCCTCAAGCTCCAAGTTCAAACCCAAGAAATAAGTACAACTTGCTAACTTACGTGTCAAATGGAAACCAAGTCAATTCACACTAACTTCGTGCTCTTGAATGCGGTTATTCTATATTTCAAAGTTCCTTCAGCCCGTACACCTAAAGATAGGCTCACTCTTCTTGAAAACCAAGAATTTTAAAACATAAGAAGAGTAATCAAAGTAACCAAAAATCTTATCAAGTTCAAGATTTACATTATAAAAACATAAGTTCGCCATTCTTCCGAAAACTCAAGATTTTTTTTTTTTGTAAAGCATAGACAAATTCAGGTGTGAGAATACACCAGTATACAATCAAGGGGAAAAACTTAGTTTAGAAAATTTTAATCTTGTATCAGCCCATCATATACAAAATTCAACAAACTCATCAGTTATTCACAAATTTTCAGATTGAAATTCAAGTAAAATTCACATATTTACCAAAATCAGAAAATTATACATACTTAAAGTATATATATATTATTTCCAATCATCGTTTGAAAATAAAACTAGTACATCCTCGTTTTTCTTTAGAATTTCAAAGCAGAAATTCTCTAGGAGGTAAATGGGCGGGAAAATGCATTTTATTCCTTTGAAACTCTTTTATCTTGGTTCAAAATCACCATACATGGAGTTTGATCATCAAATCCCGGTCTCTTATCCTCTATAGCCAGTACTAATAATTGTCTCAATTCTTTCCATACTTACAAGTATAATAATAATTCAAATTCATCCAATCTTTCACTACTAATCCTCATCCCATATTTTCCATCAATATAACATCACCTAATTCCTCAATTTTTTTTTTATTTCTACAAGTCCCAAGTAAGAAACTCTCAAATAATCAATTTCTGTAACCCCTAGGATACAATAGGTACTCATTCACATAATATTCAAATTACTCCCACAGTCAGGCATCCAAAACTTTAAGTCTAGGATACACTACGAGATCTAGGGCCTGGGCTCTGATACCAACTGTGACAGCCCCACCTCCCCCTAAGGCGAACCAAAGGGTTCGGCGGACCACCTGCCCAACTCTCGCCGGGACTCACTACAGTCCTCAACTAAAATACATCACTCACATCCAATAACATAGGGCACAACCTCAAGAATAAACGAAATAACATTTTTCAAACTTAGAACGAGATAAGATACATTACAAATCTCAAGTAAGGGTATCATTCCCCGAATAAAATAAAAGTCCTCAGTTCTCAAATAATTACATCAAATACTTATCAAGAGAATCGAATTCAAATTATATATGAGATATCCTTTCAGGCACTAATCACTCAATACAAGCGCTTTCTTTGGCCTCGAGCCTTGTGGGAAAAAATTATTTTTGGGGGTCACTAATTAAGTCTCAGAACTTCCACTTCCAAACCTGTTAAGGAAAACAAATTGGGGTGAGCTAACGCTCAGTGAGGCCAAGGGAAAAACATGCAAGCATGCTAGCAAAGATACAATATAAAGCAATAACTCGAGTAACCAATAATTGCGAAACATTAAGCAATTAGAGAATTTAATCACAATAAAAGGATACGGGAGCTCTCAGGAGCTAATCCACGCGCGATCCAAGCTCAGGTAGTTGACCCTCCGTCAACTTTCACAGTTATCCATGTAGAACTCCACTTACTACCTCCAGCCACCATGACACCCTCTTGGATCCGTAACCAAACAAGCATGTAGGTGGTATCATTTAACAAGTATACCTAGCAAGACCCCTTATTTGGATCAAGCTATAACACTGCCCAAGATTCACCAAGTTTCTCGACCAAGCCCTTGCCGGCTCGAGTTACAAGGCTAGCCAATGGGTTGGGGCGTCCCCCCCATTCACTTTTAGGTCGATGAGACGAAACTCCAATCGACAAGATTTGGTCATAGCATTGAGACGGGATGAGCGGTACCTCCTACCCTAAAAGGGCATGATACATTCTGCCGCTCAATGCTCACGAAAAACACTTTCATTTGCATTCACATGTAACACGTATCACTTATTAAGCAAGCAATTTCATGAAAGAGAGGACAAGGGCGATAAAGTACGCCCTAGCCTCATTAACTAGCAAGTACAAGAATCATTTCATTTAAACACTTCACATGCACTTGATACTCACCAAGTATCAAAAGTCAAAGTTTGAGAAATTAGCTCTAAGACGCTTCGCCGGGAGTTCCCTTGAAGTCCTCTTGAGATCCTGAAAGTATGCAATAATGCATTGTATCTCAAATTCCAGGCCATACAGTATTCGTGTAAAGAAAAGAAATTGTCAATTTTGACTCCAAAATTCAAGTTTCCAAAGTATTTCAGTTCATAAGGAACCGACTTTCAAATGAGGTCTCAAGTGATAGGTAAACTCAAGTTCACCATGAAAATAGGTTTGAAATGCTCTAAGAGTTGTAAAAATGTAGCCTAGGCCCTTAAAAAAACATTTAGGTCCAAATTGGAAATTTTCACTTTTCGAGTCATTCTTGGAAAAATCAGTCCGGAAGTTCGGAAAGTCTAAAAATGGAAAATTTTACACCGTCAAAAACTTCATTCGAAGCATAACAACTTTGCAGAAGGTCACTTTCCAAGAATCAAATCAGAAACAAGTCAATTTCTCCAAGAAAGTTTACTATGCATTGAAGATAGGTCAAAACAGTCCAAGTTTTCCCAATAATTTTGGAATTTCGCTAAAAATCATAGAATCAAAACTAGCCTTTGAAATTTGATATGCATGTAAATTTCCAATCCAGGTTTCAAATAAAAAAAATGGAACTCGATTCCGATGTTCCTAGCTGAAGAAATAAAAAGTTGAAGTTCACAAAAATTCCTGGACTGTTGGCCTTTCCAGAAATTTTCCAGATTTAATGCACTTTGCTAATTAGGCCGTATCTCACTCGATTCTCAGTGAAATTGAAAACGGTTGGTGGATTTAGAAACTAGGTTTACAAGGCTATATTTGTGTAGAAGAAATCATTTCCAAAATCCAGACATACGTGGTTCAAAATCAAGCAGAAAAATGGATTTTTTGGACAGTCTCGGATGAACAGTAATAAGCAGGCAGCCAACTTTCAAAACTCGCCACGAGTCGCTCGGGATGAACTAGAAAATGAGCTTGGTACCATTTTAAAGCTCTAAGAGTCTACTTTCAAATGCTGCAAATGGCAGTCCATTTCGATCAATGAGCAAAACGTTATAGCTACACAAATGTTGCTGGTCAGAAAATTCTGGAGCTTGTTCCAGTTTTGCTTCTTTACTTGTAACTCAAAATTTAACCAACCATTTGGGTTGATTTTTGGTAGACAACCACAATACACATAGCACAACATATCTACACCAATTTGGAAGCTCAATTTGCACCAGAAAATTTTCGAAATTACAGGGCAGCAGCAAACAAGAAAGTCGGCAGCAAGTCAGAAATTTCAGACAGTACCTTTTCCAAATTTCTAACTTTCTTCCAACTTCATTCCATCAATCATTCTATATACATGTAACATAGCACAATATCAGCAACCAAAACATGTTAATTCATCAAATCAGCCACCAATAAGCATCCTCAAACGCTCGAGCATGTCATGAAATTGCAAGAACATAATTACTCAACCAATCAACCCAAATTCTACCATAGGTTGCAAACCCATGCTACCTTTGCTCCATTTGAGCTATAATTTTGCAGATTGAAGTGTGGGTGAGTGAGTTACCTCAAAAACTTAGTTGGACAGCTTTAGAGCAGAAATCTTGACCGAAATTCCTCCAAGAAAACCGATGAACAGCCCCCGATCAAAGCCCTCTAATGGATGATGAAATTTGGAAGTGGATTGAGGTAATTTTGTAAGGATTTTGGCTAGATTTTTCTTCCCATCTTCTGCCCAATAGAGAGTGACGAGAGGAGAGAGAATGAAATCAGGTATTGTAATGAAAGTGGAGAGAATTGGTGCCTTTAAGTATAAGTGTCAACTCATGCTAGGTCTGTTTAGGGTCTTCGCGTGTCCAATTTTCGCGCTCGTTTGCAACTTTTGTGCACTAAACCTCTGAGGTAATTTCCCTAGTACATTAATAGAACATTACTAGTAGTCTAATATCATGTTCTTAAAATCTCCAATTAATCAAATTAATGTGCCTGTCGGGGCCTTTTCGGCACGCGCGCGTATAAAGGTCAAATTTAAGGGTTTTTTCATTTGAACTTGAAAATTCAACTTATTCGATTCTAAAACTCTAATATATGATAATCCAAATATATATATATATATATATAACAATAAAAATCACGATAAGCAATTCATCTTGAATAAATTTGGGCATTAAAATAATATACGCGTAAAGAACCAATCGGTAAAATTTATTTTCGAGAAATTCATGTACTTTAGTATTTTTTTTTTGGGTAACTCGAGTACGAAATATTTTTAAAATGACCAATTTAACAATATTTTGAAATAATAAAATTATGGGTCCTCACATATACCTTATTTTATTTGAAGAGAGTGAACGAGTCCTGGCGAGAGTTGGACAGACGGTCCACCAAACCTTGGGGTACATCCTGGGGGGAGATAGGGTAGTCATGCCTTCCTTCATTATAAACCACAAATAGAGAATTCTTGTTCAAATCCTTTTTCTCAAATCTCCATACCTAATTCCAAAACTCGCAATCTCGACACGATGATAATCAAAATCAAGTTCGTATGTGGTATCATAGAAGGGTAGAAAATAGAAAATAAATAGTCAAGCCTAGGGCGTACCTCAGGGTTTAGCGGACCGCCTGCCTAACTCTCGCCATGACTCACTCACTTACTTCAAATAAAATAGTTTATAACCTCAAAAGTAAAAGAAATAACAGTTCCCAAACTTGAAATGTACAAATATCTTCATTTCTATTTCAATCATCCATACAATCCCAAATATATCAAAAGATATGAATTCTAAATACATTCAACCCTAATCGAGCACTAACACAAGTACAATCGCAAAATTTCAAAAACTAGACTATGCTAGCCTGTACTAGTCTCACGCTCTCGTTCGTACCCCCTGTAAGAAAAACAAATTTAACGGAATAGGGAGAGCTAAAACTCAGAGAGATTCCAAATAGCAGGTTGACCGTTATTTAAAAGGACAAGTAGTAAAGTAGCAAAATAGCAAACATAACAAGTTCGTAAAAGTGAGCAATAACACTTTAAGTAGCAAATCTCAAAATGAGGGAGTGTAAAATTCTTTTCTAAACGACACAATAATACTACGAATAACAATCAAAGCATAAGAATACGGATGGCTCTCAAGAGCCAAATTCCCATTGTTTCACTATAGCTTGATCAAGTAGTAGTTGACACTTCATTAACTTTCAAGTAAAGTAACCAGTCCAGTAGTGCCCCACTTAACACCAATCTCAGTCCACCATTCAACCCCCTTACCGGGCCCGAGCGCCAAGATAAACACGTGTGGCAATACTCGAGTATATTGATTAATCGAGGAAGTATCACTCCACTCGACAAAACAAGAGACCCATGGTTAGTTATCTAATTGACCAAATCCTTGCCAACTCGACTCGATTAACTAGCCAGTAGGATTTGGGCTCCCAAGTAGTCAACATAGTCGATGACCAATCGACTTAGTCAAGAGAAAAGTATGGAGACGGGAATGAGAGGCATCTCCCACTCGAATCGAGTGTGGTACATACTATCGCTCAGCACTTACAAGTCAAGCACAAGTATGAATACAAGTATAGGTCAATGCAAATCATGTTACTTGTACAGGCATGAATGAGATATCAAGTGTTTAGTTGAGTTAGATCAAGTGCGATAAAGTACACACTTACTCGACCAAACCAAGCAAATCTTATCCGATCACGTTGATAAAGAATTTAGATCAAGTATCAAGTTCAATCATGTTTTTGGAAGCACTCACCAAAGGTCTAGTGCTTTTCAAAATCACGTTCAGGTCCAACTCCTTGGTTGAAGTCCAAATCTGCGATAAAATATCATTTAAGAATATAAAACTCTCTAGAGTTTGAAACACAGGAGTTTCGCTTCAAGAAAATCAAATAAATGAAACTTGTTTAAGTGGTGGTCATATGGCGTATCAAACTCTAGAAAACTCATGCTTGCTCTTTTAGTTTCGATAGAGAAGTGATTTATACTCTTGAAGTCACACTTAGTATAAAAACTCGAGAAAATCGTCTTTTTAAGGGTTGCTACTTTTACTTGGTAAAGGGCACAAGTTTCGGCAAAATTTTCAACTTATATACCTCTACGAATGAAAACTCGAATACCATAACCAATCGAAATTCACTTCAACCTCGAGCCATCACTCAAGTCTCAAGTTTACTCGCCTAACCCTTGAGCAAAAATTTGGGCGGCTTCAGCCATTTACGGCTTCATTATTTTCCTCAACCTAGCCCAAATTCACACATAAGCAATCTTAGCACAATAGCCCTTCAACTAGGCTCAATGTCATCCAAATACAAGGCAATTCTAGCAATCAACCATCAAAATCAAAGCTAGAAACCAGTTTTAAAGACGAATGGCTAAGTAGCAGGTTTGACGTCTTTTGGTGTTTTGGTCACAACTGAACCTACGCTTATCGGATTGGAAAAAATTTTATGGCATTTCGAAACTAAGCCAGAGACCTACATTTCCTATGAAGACATCAACACCCCTTCGTGCATTTTCAAGGTCAAAATGTGAAACATCAGAGAAAATAGAAAGTTGCCCGTGAGATAGGGTATTTGGGTAGTCAGGGGTATTTTAGTCATTTCACTAGATACAGTGCTCCGATTGAGCTGAATTTTGTAGGTAGATATTTAACTCCATTCCCTAGAACTTTCATGTTTTGAGCAAGAACTGATTCGGTCTTTATCATGGATGAATATGCAGGTCAGTTTGGTTCTAAAATAGGGCAGAATTACTACTAAGTGCTGGAATTCATACATAGAAGCTAGAAATCTCATTCCAAAGCTTATAAATTCATCCAACTTCATAACAAAGCTAAACCATTCATAACAAGGCTGTCCAATACCTTTCAAAATTGAAAATTATAAGCTAATAAGCAAGATCATGAAATCTTCCATAAAATCTATCACAATCAAGCCATGTGTTGCTTAAATTGCAAAATAAGAAAGAAAAAGAGAGGTTTCGAGTATAATACCTCAAAACCCCCAAAATAAGTTGTAATATAAGAACTTTCTTCCTCCCAAAAGTTCCACCAAGCTCAGCTCCAAGCTTTCCCAAAGATTGATTGGAGTGGATTCAAGTTTCACGTTAATTTTCTCAAGAATCAAACAAGATATCAAGTTGAAAAAATTGAAAATTTTTCTCTCTTCTCCTCTCCCTAGAGT